TGCCTCTGAATTTTGGGCACTAACACCCCAACTCCATCACATGCTGTACTCTTCTGTTCTTTTTTTAATGTTTTTATTCAAGTTAATTAACCTACAGTGTAGCCTTGGCTTCAGGAGTAGAACCCAGTGATTTATCACTTACATATAACACCCAGCGCTCATCCCAACAGTGCCCTCCTTAATGCCCATCACCCATTTAGCCCATCCCCCCCACCTACCTCCCCTCCAGCACCCTCAGTTTGCCCTCTGTATTTAAGAGTCTCTTATGGTTTGCCTCCCCCTTTCTGTTTTTATCTTGTTTTTCCTTCCCTTCCCCTATGTTCATCTGTCGAGTTTCTCAGATTCCACATATGAATGAAACCACGTATCTGTTTTTCTCTGACTGGCTTATTTCGCTTAGCATAATGCGCTCTAGCTCCATCCGCATTGTTGCAAACGGCAAGATTTCATTCTTTTTCATAGCCGTATAGTCTTCTGTTCTTAACTCCACTCTCAGTTGCTACAGGTGTGTGTTGAGTGGGGGAGGGGGAAGACAAATAAATCAAAAGAATTAAAATTAATAGAGACTTCTTGTTCTGGCCTGCCAGATAAGCCGGCATCACTCGTAGCAGGTGTCCTTTGTACTTCTGACAGGGGCTTATGAATAAGTAAGAAAGAGGATTTGTACTTAAATATCAGGAACATTCTAATGCTTAGCCCAGCTATACCTCACTCTTTCATCGCTGGCATTGTCCTTCTCCAAATCATTTGTCCTCTGGTGGATCTTGACAAAGCGTCTGCACAAAACTAACAGGCGTGCAAAACCTGGATGAGCAAAATTGATTCGCCTATAATTTGTTTGTGAAGCGATCAGGCCGTGGTTGAAGTGATTTTAATTTCAGAGCCCGAGTCACCAGTCTGTCTTTTTGTCAGGCAATTAGTTCCACTGGCTGGGCAAGAATGCTGTGATGCAAGGGGCTGAGGGGAACTGGGCAAGTGGAAGTGGTCTACCCTTTCTTTTCGCTTCCCCTGAGTGTTCCTCATGCCAGGCTCCTTTTGTTTCTCTGGTTTATTAGAGGTAAAATTCCCTGCACACTCTGCGTGCCCCTGTTGACTTTGCTGGGCATCGTGCTGTGGATAAGTGCTCTGGATAAGGACCCAGAAGGAGGTAAACAGAGGAAACTCTAATAGTAGTTACAACTTTGGGACTGTCTGGCCATGTGTTAGACTCTTCAACATGTGATTTTATTTAATACACTCGGCAACCTCCAATGACAGGTGTTAACATCTTCATTTTACTAATGGCAAAATCAAGGGGCAGAGAGGTTGGTTATTAACTAAAGTCGCACATCTAAGAAGTGGAGAGTCGTGGCCGCAGCGTGGGTACTTTCAATCCCTGGACCGTGCTGCCCATTCAAGCCATTGCCTTTTGGACTTTGGGGAGGAACCATGTTTGGATTTAGAGGCCAGATAACAGTAACCTCAACAAGGCACTTCCACCTATGAGGGCAGGGACTTTGTTAGTATCCTTCAAGCCCAGCTGAACCTGCTTCATCCTAGGCATATGGGAAGTGCACCCATATTTTTTCAGTGACTAAAATGCATTATCCCATCTGATTTTCACAATAAGAGGTAGCAAAGAAAGGTATTATTATCGTTATTTATGATTATTTTACCTGAATGGAAAGGAATATCTCATATTCACAAAGTGACTCAAATAAATTTCTGAGTCATTTTAATTGTCAGGTTGACAACTTACCTATAAAGGTTAAAGGTCCCAGATGCAGGGACCACTTCCTGTACATTCTGTATCCCCTTCCTCATAGTGCAGAGTGCATTGCCATGGTCAAGGAAAGTTCTGTCAGACAGTGCTGCTCTAGAGGCAGGCAGAGGCTGGTTGGTGATGACCTAACATAATACCCTACTTCAGAGCCAGAGGTAGAACTTAATAATTTTTGAATGAATAAATGAATGAATACCATAACGGAACTGTTTTCTTCATATAGACTAAGCTAATTACGGTGATCAGTCATAGGTCGAATTAATGCTTTCCAGGGTAGCTGACTCCATTTTTCAAAGTGAATCATCAAAAACTGCAGAACAACTCATTTCTTAAACGTGTCAAAATGCAATTTTAAATGTCATGCTAAGTAATGGCAAGATGCTGGAGTGGGTTGGTCAGTGATTACTGCTATTTAACAGTAATTTAAAAACAAGGCAAGAGCAATGTTTGTACCAATATGGCATCCAAATAGTCAAACCAACTCTACTTAGATAATGAATTAATTCATATGTATTAATAATGTATTTCATTTATTTTATACCATTTTTCATGGAGTTTAAAACGAGTCATAGTTATTATGTTAGTTAATATTATGTCATCTGTCTACACCAGAAGACTGGCATTGCCTTTTCAAAAAATGACAGAGAAATGACAAAAAAAATAAGGTTTTCATTTACCATGATGCTCAGCGGGTGTGATATCCTGAGTCCCTGTTTCTTGCCCTGCGATTGTCTCACCTATATTTTGTGGGGGGGGGGCACTTGAATAAAAAAAGAATAGTAAAACAGATGCAGAAAGGTTTGGCTTCTTATACTAAACTTCTCAGAAAGTGCAGATTATCTTACATTGTTATATGCTTTAACCAGCCTCTTTGGGAAAAAGTGCCTTTGAGCAATTCAGCAAGTTGGTATTTTGTGGCAACATTTAATCCCTTATGTTCCTTACTTTAACCAATCTCATCTGGAAAAAAAGCCTTAACTAAGACCGATCTAATACAGTTTGAGGGAGGGGCATATGTCCAGGGTAAAGCAACCCATTTGTTTACTTATTGAATGTTTGCAAGTGCCAGACATGTGCTAGGAACCCAATGATGACTGGCACACAGTCCCGGCTCTCAAGGATCTCCTGGCCTACTGGGAACTCAGGCCAGTAAACTGGTCATTACCACGGAGGGTGACCAGTACTATAATGGGAGTAAGCAGAGTATTCTTAGGAAGCCACGTTGTTCAGCTTAGGGGAAAAGAAAAGATTTGCTGGGAAAATAGAAATAAATCATGTCATGATGCCTAGGTAATGGTTAGTCAGATGATGAGAGAGGCAAAGAGAATACAAGAAAGAGAGCACGTCTTGGTTGAAGAATTACAGGAAGTTGTAGTGTCGCTAAAGCACAGATTCAAGGGGCCACAGTTGGGTGGTATGGTGGAATGAGGCTCCAGGGCTGTGCTGTCCAATATGGTAGCCAATAGCCACAGGTGGCGATTTAAATTTCATTTCAAATCAATTAACAGTCAATAAAATTAGAAATGCAGTCCCTGAATGGCACTAGCCATATTTAAAGAGCTCAATAGCCACTGTGGCTACTGCGTTGCATGTGCAGATATAGAATATTTTCATCATCACAGAAGTTCTGTTGGATGGTGCTTCTGTAGAGGTAGACAGGGGCCAGTCAGCAACCAACTCTGGATGAACTCTGAATGACACGCAAAGGTACTTGGAGCTTATACTGAGAACAGTAAGATGCCATTGAAGTGTGTGTGTGTGTGTGTGTGTGTGTGTGTGTGTGTGTTTATATTTACTGATTGATTTTGAGAGAGAGGGAGCATGTGCATATTGGTGGGGAGGGGCAGAGAGAGAGAATCACAAGCAGGCTCTGAGCTGTCAGTGCAGAGCCCAAAGTGGGGCTTGATTTCATGAATCATGAGATCATGAACCTGAGCTGAAATCAAGAGTTGGACCCTTAACCGACTGAGCTACCTAGGCGCTCCACAACTGAAATGTTTTATACAGGAGAGTAGAATGATCACATTTATTTATTAAAAGTCGCTCTGTAGGGCATAAAAGGAATTAGAAGCAAGACTTGGAGTTCGACCAGTGCAGAGAGAGACTCTTTCATTCATTTGGGCAGCTGGCTAATGATGGCACCATTAACCTCGACAGGGAACAAGGGAGAAGGAATAGATCTGGAGGAGAGAGATGATAAATTCAACTTTGTTCTTGAATTTGAAGTCAACAATGAGGCATCCAAGTGAGCTCGCAGAAGGCATTTCAGAAGTCAGATCTGAAGGTCAGGGGACAAATCTGGGCTGGAGATAAAGATTTTTAAGCCAACACTGCATGGATGACATTTGAAGCCCAAGGAGTAGGTGAGGTCTCTGAGGGAGAGAGTATGGAATGAGATGCTAAGAAGGCCAAAGACTGAACACTGAGTGAGGAGACCAGCCTTGGAAGAAGTGCCCAGAAAAGCAGCTGGTGAGGCAAAAAGAGAATGAGGAAACTGTATGGGATTCAAGTAAAGAGGATATTTCAGGAAAAAGGAGTGATCATCATGTCAAGTGCTGTAGAGATGTCCTCTCTGTAATCCCTGTGCCATTTTAAAATGTCTACCTCATGTCAGACATACAGTAAAACCTTGGTTTGTGAACATAATTTGTTCCAGAAACATGCTGGTAATCCAAAGTGCTTGTATATCAAAGTGAATTTCAAGAACCATTGGTTCAGTTGTGATCATGTGACGTCCAGTGTCACATACTACTCGCGTTGCAAGGCATCGATTGTTTATCAAGTTAAAATTTATTAGAAATGTTTGCTCATCTGCAGAACACTCGCAGAACAAGTTAATTGCAATCCAAGGCTTTACTGTATTTGTAACCACTCTTATTCTCTGTACCTCTCTAAGCACACTGGAAGTACACACTAAGTCTTCTATATTTTCATGTTCATTTTTCCCAGAGTAGGTCTTGCATATAGAAGGTGCTCTTTTGTTAGTCGTCTAATTATTTTCCAGCCTTAGAATTTGAGGCTTTTATTGGACTTAAATATATACAAAGTGTGTATCCTTTTCATGTGTTTTCCTCTTACGTCATTTTCTCTGATTGAATGAAAATGTCTTAGTTCCTGGTGAGGGTAAGGTCACGATAAACTCATAACTTAGTAAAATCTCATGTTTTCAGGAAAATTTTCAAATTGGGGGGGGAGGGGACAATTCCCTCTGAAACAGAAGAAACAGAACTAAGATGGATATGTTTTCATAAAAAATTTTTATTATGATCATTTACACCAGTTCCTTGATAAGCATATAAATGTAAACTTTTATCAGTGGCATTGTTTCCCGTATGACTTACCCAAATTCAGAGTTAATATTGTCATTTGAGTGTACCGGTAGTGAGAAAATTTTATTATATTCACAGAATATACATACACGTGCATTCAAAACGGGTCCCTCGTTAAGCCAGTGGTATAGACACTGTCCCATTGGCCCTGCTTCTGCTCCGCAGATGTACATTGGAATCAGTAATGTCGTCCACATGCTCCTCGCTCTTCTTTTCCTTCAGGCTATTGATGAATCTGAGGGTAATTTCATCCCACTCCTCTGGCAAGAGCATCAGCAGAAACCCAATGCAGATGATGATCGTAGCAGCCAGGCGGACAACACTGAATATCACCTCCTGCTTCAGGAGATCCACAGCTAGGGAAGAAAAATCAAGCCGCAGTTTATGACTGTTTCGAAGCTCCTTTGAGGGCAAATGACCAAAGTCGTTGCTATTTCTAGAAATTTCTTTCTTTAATTTTTTAAAATTTGATGGGGGGGGGGGGCGAGGGGCAGAGAGAGAGAGAGAGAGAGAGAGAGAGAGAGAGAGAGAGAATCTTAAGCAGGTTCCGTACTGAATTCAGAGTGCAACGAGAGGCTTGATTCCACGACCCTGCGATTATGACCTGGGCCAAAATCAAGAGTCGGACACTCAACCAACTGAGCCCCCGCCCCAAGGTGCACCAACTACTTCTAGAAATTTCTAAAGTCTCCCTTGTTCTTTCAAGCTCGTCTTTCCTTTCTCTATATCATTATATTGTTCCCTTTGTTTGCATTCTGTTCCTTCTCTCTAAATCAGATTTATCTTTCTTTTTTTTTTTTAATTTTTTTTTTCAACGTTTATTTATTTTTGGGACAGAGAGAGACAGAGCATGAACAGGGGAGGGGCAGAGAGAGAGGGAGACACAGAATCGGAAACAGGCTCCAGGCTCTGAGCCATCAGCCCAGAGCCCGACGCGGGGCTCGAACTCACAGACCGCGAGATCGTGACCTGGCTGAAGTCGGACGCCTAACCGACTGCGCCACCCAGGCGCCCCCAGATTTATCTTTCAAGGCTCATGTCATCTCATTTAATTACAACTCTGCAGTTTTTATTTCTTGAAACTTTTCTTCTGTGTCCCTTCACACTTCTCCAGTTTCATTGGCCACTGAAGATTTTTTCAAATGAGCAAAGCTTTTTAATATATATGTCTTTACACATGCTGTTCTTAAAAATTTTTAATTGAGGTGGAATTCCTATCAATTAGAATTATTTTTTATTTTATTTATTTATTTTTTAAATTTTTATTTATTTTTGAGACAGAGAGAGACAGAGCGAGACACAGAATCTGAAGCAGGCTCCAGGCTCTGAGCCATCAGCACAGAGCCTGACGCGGGACTCGAACTCACGGACTGCAAGATCATGACCTGAGCCGAAATCGGTCACCCAACTGACTGAGCCACCCAGGCACCCCTTAACTATTTTTTTTAAAGCTTACTTACTTTGAGAAGAGAAAGAGAGGGAGAGAGAACATGCATGTGCGTGAGCACCTGTGAGGTGGAGGGGGATCAAAGAAGGAGAGGCAGAATCCCAAGCAGGCTCCACACTGTCAGCACAGAACCTGATGTGGGGCTTGATCTCACAAAGCAGGAGATCATGACCTGAGCTGAGATCAAGAGTCAGATGCTCAACTGACTGAGCCACCCCAGCACCCCTAAAATTAACTGTTTTATTTTATTTTATTTTATTTTATTTTATTTTATTTTATTATTTTATTTTTATTCATTTTTGAAAGAGAGCACAAGCAGGGGTGGGGTGGAAAGAGAGGGGGACACAGAATCAGAAGCAGGCTCCAGGCTGCTTCAAGCGGTCAGCACAGAGCCCAGCGTGGGGCTCGAACCCATGAACCGCGAGATCATGACCTGAGCCGAAGTCGACGCTCAACCGACTGAGCCACCCAGGCGCCCCTAAAATTAACTATTTTAAAATGAATTTAGTGGTATTTTGTACATTCACAATGTTGTACAACCACCACCTTCATGTGGTTCCAAAACATCTCCATCACTTCAAAGTAAAACCCGTTAAGCGGGGCCTGGGTGGCTCAGTGGGTTAAGCGTTCCACTTCGGCTCAGGTCATGATCTCTCAGTTTGTGGGTTGGAGCCCTGCCTCGGGCTCTGTGCTGACAGCTCAGAGCCTGGGGCCTGCTTCCGATTCAGTGTCTCCCTCTCTCTCGGCCCCTCCCCCGCTTGTGCTCTGTCTCTATCAAAAGTAAATAAACGTAAAAAAAGAAATTAAAATCCGTTACCCATTTGTTTTGGGAATGGGAATCTGCTGTTTGGGAATATGCTGTTTGTTTCCATGGATTTCCCCATTTTAGGGATTTCGTATAAATGGCATCATACCATATGTGGCTTTTTGTGTGTGGTTTCTTTCACTTAACGTGAAGTTTTTGAGGTTCAACCATGTGGTAGCATGTATCCATACTTTGTGCCCTTTTATGGTTGAATGATGCCCCATTGTATCACAACTTGCTTATCAATTCATCTGTTGATGGACATTTGGGTGCTTTCACCTTTTGGTCATTGCGAGTATGCTGCAATGACCATTCATTTATAAGCATATTTTTGAGTCCCTGTTTTCAGTTTTTTGGCACACATAGCTAGTAGCGGAATTGTCGGTCATACATGTTGTGCTTTGTACAAGCAATGCCCTTTCCTTCTCATATCCACACCATCCAGCTAATCTCTCCAGTAGCTCTCCCTTTTGGCTTCTTGCAGGAAGCTGGCTGGATGCCCTTCCTGGGTGCTCTCAGAGCATGCATTACATACATTCCTCTATCAAAGCAATTCTGTCTCTACATCATATCTACTCAATTCCTTTTGTCTCCCTCTCTCCACCACATGGTCTTGAAAGCAGACAGTAGGTCTTATTCAGGATCTATCACCAGCATTAGGCACAGTTCCTGGAACATCCTAAGTGCTCAGCGATGTTTTATTGAATGAATGAATCCCTGGATGAATGAATGATCTTCCATAACTCCACTCCTTTCTGATATTTCTTTCTTCTGAATATCTTACAGTCCCAACAGTCTGTCTCAAACAATTTGGCATTTACTAACAAATGGTACATGGAGTTGTAAGTTATTTCATACATATCGGTCTTACTTTCCAAATTCAGTGAAAGTTCCTTTGGGAATGTCCAGGGTGTTTTGTTGTTGTTGTTGTTTCTTTTACAGTCTTGCGCATAGTAAGTGCTCAATGAACACTTGCTGATTGTCCTGGGGGCAAAGGAAGCTGGGTACCCGAGACTTGGAAAAATAGAATTTTACAGTTGGAAGGACTGTACAGTCTTCCAAATCACTCACTTTCATTACTTGTTCCACTGACAGCTTTCACTAAAAGATTACTCTGGAAAAACAGCTTCTCTTCTCATCCCTGAAGTGAGTCAAATTGCCTTTTCATGTATCTGTTCCAGAGGGCCATCTGCTCTGCCCCCAGGAGAAGCTTCTGCAGCTCCCCACGGATAGTCTGATGGGGAGCCAACACCCTGTACATTTCCTACACTTTCATTAGTGACGTTTACTTGAGAGTCCTATGCTGGGATGCCTTTTGTTTCCATAGGACTTCCTCTAAAAATACCACAAAATTAGGTTGTCAGGGAGATTACATGAAACCCAAATGATACATTTGGTGTTTAATTCTAAAAGCACGACCAAGAAAAAACAGTGTTTATAGCTGCAAATTTTAAATCTGCTGCATAGTTATTCTGTTGTCTGCCACCTTCATGATATTTAAAAACATCTTCTCAGGCAAAGGACATAATTCACAATTGCTCGAAGAAACAACTCGGGGTGTAAAAGGAACATGAGCAGAGACTTATTTGCACATGTCAAATCACACCAGTACCTGCATTTCCAGGAACGCTGAGCACTGTCCCAATGGAGATCAGGATTGGGTATGTCAGCACCACGCCGACATTCACCAGGATGTTGAAGGCTGTAAAATAATGGAGGATACGGAGGATGAAAGGAAATTGACACGCTGGGCTCTTTCCTTCTTAACATAATAGAACCGATGTTTTTGCTAAACGTGCCTTCTAAACTTGTCCTCACCTTTGGTCGATTAATCCTCTAATTTGGGAGATGGATGTAGGCGTTTCTCGACTGAAGTAGTCCTATTCTTTTTTCTCCTCTGCCACCTTGGCTGCCTGACCTCTTGCCACTTGGCTGGCAAAGGGTGTGCGAACCAATTGCAAAGCAGTGAAATAACCAATTCACCCCACCGCTTATTAGCACTATAAAGGCAGGTTGGGGCCAGCCAGAGGTTGAAAGCAGACTACTGATTGAAGTTTGGGCTTTCCCCCTTTAATGCTTTGCTCTATTATGCCACATTCCTGGATAACTAACAGGCTCTAGTGTTACTACCTAAAGGAAGATCTAGCCAAGGATGGCCTATGCTGTTTTGTTCCCTCTCTCTTGCAGTGGGCATCACGCCAGCAAACAAAAGTGCATTCTGTGTAATGCACAGAACCTCAGGGACCCTTTCTGCATCCCAATTTGTGCACAGACTACCCAAGGGCAGGTCTGCAGAACCAAAGGAAGGTATAACTAGATACATTTAATTAATATCTTTGGGTCCTTTTAGTAAAATATAAAATCGGTTAAAATAATCCTCTACCTCCCACAAAAATGATCAAAACTCTAGGTTTTCAAAAGAAAAACAATGATAAGCCACATAGAACTGTTTTCATAGATTTCAATCCGGTGTTTGTTTTAGGGTTGAGAGAGGTGAGTGTTAACAACTACAAATTGTCCTCAGTTCAGAGAGATCTCTATGTAACTGACTCAACCACGTTGCCTGTATCTCTATAGAACCAAAGATGGTTCTAGAGCCACTCCAGTCAGGACAGCGTTTACTCTTCCATTGCTATCTATAATCCCTGCTTTAATTAAACCCACTAACTTGCTTCTCTGGAGTCACTTGGTAGTTAGAGACAGTGGGTTTGACTTTCATAAAACTTGGGGGGCACCTGGGTGGCGCAGTCGGTTAAGCGTCCGACTTCAGCCAGGTCACGATCTCGCGGTCCGTGAGTTCGAGCCCCGCGTCGGGCTCTGGGCTGATGGCTCGGAGCCTGGAGCCTGTTTCCGATTCTGTGTCTCCCTCTCTCTCTGCCCCTCCCCCATTCATGCTCTGTCTCTCTCTGTCCCAAAAATAAATAAACGTTGAAAAAAAAAATTAAAAAAAAAAAAACTTGGACTCCTTCATAGTTACCATACAAGAGTAGTGGCAGTCAAGGCGGAGGACCTTCCTACGTTAATAACTGCTCCTCCTACCTGGCATAGCCACACTGGGAATGACTATTCCAGTACCTCCACTCTCTCCTCAGACTCAGGGAATAAAATATAGCACATTCTAGCAGGTCAGGAATTAAATTCTACACAGACACTGCTGAACTCCTGAACTGCAATTTTTTTGGGCTGAACTGGATATTTCAGCAGATTGAAAGTATTGGTATTTGGGTGAGAACTGAGTTCTGCTCACTCAGCGAGAAGGAGGTGGTTTCACCAAAATGCGTGGTCTGTTTCTAATTTGTTCTTTAGGTAGCACACTTACTTTTCTGCCACCCTAAGGACAAGAATATATAAGTCAGTATGTTATCTGCAGCATGGGGCCCAGCCCAAGTTTGTCCCTCCCAAATCAGGGAAATTTGGGTGAAGGCACTCCCTGGCAGATAGGCCCAACTGTGAGAAGAAAGGAGGCACAGTGAACCTACGCAAATAAAAGCTGTAGTTACGGGCAATGTGGACAGGTCAGAGGACCACCTGCTGTTCATCCAGCCCAGCTCCAACCAGGTCATATCTGGTTACTATGGAGAAGAGAGGGATCGAAACAAAAACCTAGAACAGGAGCCGGGTGGCTCAATCAGTTAAGCATCTTGATTTCGGCGCAGCTCATGATCTCACAGTTCATGAGTTCAAGCCCTGCATCTGGCTCTGCGCTGACAGTGCGGAGCCTGCTTGGGATTCATTCATTCTCTCCCCCTCCCCATCTCTCTCTCTCTCTCCCTGTCTTTCTGCCCCAACCCGGTCATGCTGTCTCTCTCTCAAAATAAGTGAACTTTTTTTTTTTTTTTAAAGAAGAAGAACAGAATCAGTGAAGTTTGTAAAACACCTGGGGTGTGTAACACAGTCAGGAGAGAGGCTATCGCCTCATTTTGTCACAGAGCAGCTTTGGCACAGGGAGGACTGCAGGGCACTGGGGAAGGGCTGGGTGGAGCAGCTCTAGTTCCGGGTGATGCTCTACCTCGTGGAGTCTGGAGACCATGGTGCTTGGTGGAGACCTGGTATCCTGCCGGCCTGGGTGATACCCAGCCTGGGCCGGGCTTGTGTAGAAGCATGTGTTAGACATGCCAAGGGATATGTGTTGGTGAAGGGCAACTTGGCAGCAAGCTGGAGATATGTGTACACAGCTGGGGCCAAGAGTCAGTGAAATTTAGATTATGACTGTTCCCAGCTAGATTGTTTTGGGCCGGGAAATTATCTCGGCACTTTTAATTAGGATGCTTGGGTCTTATGGGAACACTGCTATTGATTTCTACTTAATTTAGCAGAGGTTATGGAAGGTCGTAACTCCACATTTTTGGACTTCAGAAGTAAAATTCAAAGGACCAACATGACTGATCGTTCTCTTATCTAAGACCTCCCCTTAGGGCCTGGGCCAAAGTAGACCCAGTGTCTATGTGGGAATGAAAACCAGGTCATGTTTGTCTCCCGGGAGTTATAGTGCTGCTTCAGATTATGTCACCTTGACAAAGAAGGTCAGCTGAGGGTTGGCAGATGTCCTGCAGGTCAAGTGCGGTGGGTCAGTGAGGACTAGATGGAGGGGGCTGTCCTTAGGAAGGGTGAGGAGAGAGGAGTAGGATGAAAGCGATTTGGTTCTGAGTAAGGGGACACTGAGTCATTTAGCGGTTGCTGTTGTTCAACTGCTTGGGGCGGGAAGAGCAGGCTTGTTATTTTTCAGGTTCCTCTTAAGTCCAGTGACAGAAGCAACACAGCTAGAAAGTGGGAGCCCCCTGGTTGCTCAGGTGAAGCAGACTACCTTGAGTTTGGGGAGTTTTGAGAGAGAACATTAAAAAGTTCAAGTCAATTGGCCATTGACTAGGCACAGCCTCCTTAGCAGGGAGACCAAGTCTAATTCTGCCTTCTCCTCTTGCCTGCTGAGGGCTTCCGATCTCAAATTCATTCTCCACACCCAGCCAGCCTGTGTGTGGCTAAAATGTAGATGTGCGCCTGTCACCTCTGCTTAAAGACCATTAAGTGGATTTTAAATCCACTCCCCTCAATAGCTTTCCAGGCCCTTCATGACCTGCTTCCTTCCAGATGTCATCTTCTTCCTTCCTCCCCATTCTTCCTGTACTTGGTGCGTCAGCCATTTTGATCCATTCTGAGTTCCTTGAATACACCATCTGTTCTCTCCCTCTGCCTGATGCACCGTGATCCACCTGGGACACGGTAACATCATACAATATATCATGAAGGATGGACAAGGCTGCTTTAAGACCAGTGGTGATCAGAGTGCCCTGGGCCTCCAGCTCACGTCTTAACCCATGGGAGGTATACCGGTTGAACAGCTCTGATCTAATCAAGCAATAGCCTGCAGAGAACCTTCTAACCATTAACCAACCTTAGATAAGTTTGGAAAATAGAGGACAAAGGTTCCCAAGGGAATAACCCTATTATGATCATTCATCTATCCAAGGAAAGGTCAAGTGACATAGGGAATGGAAGGCAAAACCTGGAGCCACTTACCCAGCCACAGCCCGGCCATCCCACAGAGATAGCCCCACGGCAGAGCTGCAAATGAGGACCAGTGTTCCACCTTGGTGAAATACAGGACGACCGGGGTGAAAGAGATGAAGATTAAATTGAAGAAACCCAACGTGGAGACAAAGTGTGCCGCTTCACCAAAGTTGGCACTTCCGAGAAACATCTTAAACAAAACCTGGATTGGGAGAGAAACCCCTTAGCCACACAGTTAGAGACTTTGCCAGAGCAGAAAGACAAGTTCTATACAGTGAGCTAACCAGCCCAGAGTTTACCCTCTATTTCTCCTTATCCCACCACCTCCATGGCACAAAATGGACTGTGAATAAGTGATTAAAATGCCCTGCAGTCTTCACATGAAACAGCAAATGCCATAAAATGAACTCCTCATGCTGTTGGAAACTGCTGCAAGTCCTGTACTCTGTTAGCACCACCCTCAGTTACGGGTATAGGGTGAATGGTAAATAAGAGTGCACACGAGCCCAGGAGAATCTAGGATTGAGATGCCATCAATTCTTCCCTTCAGGCATGGGATGCATTTTACCCTTATTTCGACAGATACTGAAAACTAAATTAGACAGAGAGAGCCTGTCATTATGTTGTTGAGAGAATAATAATGGTGCCTTGGATTTATAAGCACTTTCCTCTCTGAGCTTAAAACATGTGCACAAATACTGTGTTTATTCTCCAGATTAAAACTATTTTTTTTTTCTGGATATAAATCTGTGTACAGGGGAAGAAGATAGCATAGAAGATAGAAGATGTCAATGGCTACCATCAAGTTACGTTGGGCTGAGGAGGGGCCGGGCCTCTAGTCCATACTTCCTGACTTTATAACCCTTCTGCTTCCTATGTGAATCCTCAAACAATGTCGAATGGAGCAGATCTTTCCGATGGTGCCCATATGGTTTTATGCATGTCAGCATATATTACCGCTCCCAGAACGAACACCCCTGTAGCATGGTCAGGAGAATTGTCTCCATGAGATAGCCATCCCAGTGACACCGCAATCCCAGGCATGCTTTTAATGTCAACTGGACTTATTATTTTTGCTCATGAGAGACTTAAGAGGACTTGACCACGTGCTGTTCTTTGGTCACATCAGACACCTCAGTGGGGTCTCAGTTGGGGGCAAGTTAGACGCCAATGGCAATTGAGTGAAAACTTGTCAAGCTTGTCACAGAATCAGTGGGCCAGGAAATGTCAATATGGAAATAGACTCCGTGACTTCAGAGCCGCGGTGTTGGCGAATAATCAGAACAGGCATCCAGGAGGGATGCAAAGGGCGTTTTCTGCTTTTCACAGAGAATCTTCTCATTGAAACACCAAGAGAGGTGAAAGTGGAACAGTGCTTTAGCTACAACCCGAAAGCAGGCTCTGACAAGTGGAGCTTTGGGGATAACCTTTTAGATCTGCTCTCTCAGTCCTTGCTTCTGAAGTCAGGGGCAATGACTGAATAGATTTTCCACGGATGGCAGGCGGCTCCAGTGGAGAACGAGTGGTAAGTACATAATGCAGACCAGGAGTATCCATCAGAGAGGAAAGGACGTCCTTCATTTCGCTAATAACCGGAGTTCCTGTGGCTTGGGGTTAATACATGGCAGTCGACTCTCAAGTGACAGCTTGTTTGTTCTTTTTAACACCTCATTGGAGTTAAAATAAGGACAGTGGTAGTTAAAGTAAAGGAATTTAAGGGCAGAATGGTCTTTCTCAGCCCCCGCTGCAACCAGTTGATTTCTGAGGGGCAGAGGCAGGCAGCATGGGCTTTGGAGGTGGCCAGTGGGAATTTAAATCTTGCTATCACTTTCCATCTGTGTGGCCTTGGGCAAGTTATTTAATCTTTTTTTTATTATTATTTATTTATTTTTATTTTTTATTTTTCTAAACTTACATCCAAATTAGTCAGCATATAGTGCAACGATGATTTCAGGAGTACTCCTGAAATCAAGTTATTTAATCTTTCAAACCTCAGTTTCCTCATCTGGAAAGTGGGGATAAGTACCTGTGCCTCATAAGGGTGAGTTAACACAGGTGAAAATTTCTGGCAAGTACTCAGTAAATGGTACTTATTCTTATTTCTTATTATTATTATTATTATTATTATTTTTTTTTATTTAAACCACCTCCCCCCCCCCAGCCAAGATTTTCTTTGTCCTGCCTTCTTTTATGACTTAAATCTAAGCTATGACTACACAAAAAAAGTGCACGACATACCTTGTATAATGCAGACGTAGAGGCTGAACCCACTGCAAAGGCCACTCCTATGATCGAATCAGTGTGGAAATTATCTGCATATGCCATCATGACGATGCCGGTAATGGCCATTATTGCGGCAACTATCTGTCAAATAGAATGCAAAGGAATTAAAAAAAATTGATGCCTCCATATCTCAGAGCAAGCCATTGAAGACTTCATGAGAGTTGCTAAATGCTTCCTCAAACCCAATTACCTCTTGTACGTCGCTGTTTCAATGCGAGAAGGGTCAGTATTAACAAGAAATCAGTATGCTCCTGAGACATCCAGGCAGAGAATATAAAAGCTGCTCCCATTCTAATTAAGGGTTAGTAATTTTAGTGTAATTTTTTCGCTCAACTTCCCAGAGATTAATATCCGTGTTGGCGAAATGAATTTCACAGGAAATCACTCCAGAGCATTTTCATCTATACTGTATGCTTTTTCTTCAAAACAATTCAGCATACATTTTAATCAGCTCCTTGGATCAATGCATGGTTTTGAAGATCGACACATAACCAGGACTTGATTAGGGAGACCTAACATTGATGCAGCTAAGAGGCAAAATTTAAGCCACGGGGCGGGGAGCGGGGGGCGGGGGGAAAGGAAAACAAATCATCTCTTATAGTGATTTACAAGGAGTGGGCAGAGTTTTCACTGGTACTTGGAATGTCAAAGGGAGACTGGTTCTTCCTTCTTTTTACGTGCGAATTAAACCACAAAAAAGATAATTTCATCTCATTACTCTAGATCATTAACCGCACAAATTTGATTGAAATCATAATGGTACGATATTTCGATAGGATGCTTGAAATATTCAAAACAGGAGGCCACTCCCTTAGTGAAATGCTGATTTACATCTGTTTCTTAAATGATCTTGAACTGATTCTGCTGGAAAACATTTCAAAGCTATAGTAAACAGTAAAATAACAGGCCCTGGAATAGGAAACAATACGTCATTTCCTTGTGAAATAGTCTCACTTTTAAATCAAGATGCAACTTTGCGAGAAATTTATAGGTTACGTGGCAGTTAATTTTGTTAGGTTTCAGTTCTGAGTATTCCCAAGTAAATCAATTCCTCCGTAGATAGCTTTTCCACGTATGTGGGGTTTTTTTGGCCCTTCTGAATATTAGTGAATTATTTATTGCAACAAAATGTAGATCTTCAACATGTAACCATAGACTTGCTCCAGGCCAGCACCGAGTATGGTGGCGATGACACGTTATCGTTTAGATGCTGCTAAAGCAATTCTTTTGTTAATGACCATGAAAAGCAAGTGAACTGTTGGTTTCAGACCTAGCTTCATACTAAAGCATCTTTTATGAAAAACAGCAGGAGTACTTGAGAACAGACGCTGACATGTCAGCAGTGAAAAACCGTCTTCATAAAGCGTTTTTCCGGGAGGCTGCTTGATGGGAGGCGTTTCTCTTGCTGAGTGAATATCGTATTCTCTAAAGCTCCCAGGCATGTGTTCTAGTTAGACCATGCCTCAAACTAGAGGGAATAGAATCTAATACACACACCATGAGATGTCAAGGAAATTTTCCAAACAAGAAGTAATAGACTCATAAATAAACATGGTGTAGGGGTTATCTAGACTTAGAAATTGTGTGAGGGTTATCATTTTCTTTGATTTGGGGATTTATAGTTCAGCCAAGGACTTGCAACAATCCTTTGGGCAGTCTGATTTCAGACAAATGAAAAGTCATGTTAGACGCTGGCATTTTGTTTTTGTTTGTGTGTTTAAATAATATTCATGGGTCGAAGTCTTCAGGTGCACAAGTAGATTTCCCTCATAAGACTGAATTTGCAGGACAATAAATCTGAATTGGTATTTGTTTTCTTTCAGCCAAGCATCAGTTGTGTTTTCTTGTTCACATCAAGATGGGATTAATAGAATACAGTGTTAATTGCAATTAACTTTAACTTTGTCACTTTAACTGTAACTGTAACTTTAACATGATGTACTGTTTCATATTTAAAATTATCAAAATTATTGTATAATCCATAATATTTGGGTTTAGGCAACTGTACATAATATATAATTCTGAGTTTAGGGAATTATGAAAACAAACAGCCTATACAAAATAAAATAAAACACAAAAACACTGTCTGGAAAGTGATGAACATTTAACATTAATCACCCCCCGGCTACGACTTCAGTTAGGAGCACTTCCTTTTCTGAGTCAGCCTTTAGTAAAAATATATATGCTTAGTATGTCTACTATAAGTATTCCCAAGATAGAAATTGGGTATGGAGAAAGATGATAAATTTTATAGCAATTCAAAATTATAACTATGATGAGCCTCTTAAAGGTCTCCATTACATTTTATATTCAAGTGCTTGTGGAAATATTAGCCAGACCACTTAAATTGACATTATCAATTACACCAGTGTTTCTTTCAATTGCTTTCATGGAGAGAAGCATTTTTCATGTCGCAGGGCTGGACAATGTGGTTAGTTACGTTCTACAAGCATGAAAATCTGAATATTTGAGATGTTAGAAAAATTCTTTTCTATGGTATGAACAGTAATTGATAGGTTATATAGGTTTGCTGTGGGGGGGAGAAGATAAGCTAAATTATTTTCCACATTTTTTTACTTAAATCTCACAGCTAATAGAACATTTTCTGTGGCTGCGTTTTAAGAAATGTTCAATGTGCTTCTTATCTACAGAGTTGGAACTAAAGGACGAGAGCTCAGCTAATCTAGGAAATGCAGGAAAATGCTGGATGGAAGGCTCAGTGGAGTGGTCATGCAGATGCTCCCACAGTGGCTCTCCTTGGCACCACTGGTTAATTGCAGAATAAATACTATTCAAATTTCCAGAGAACAAACAGCCTCAGCACAGATCTGAGTCTCAGACATCTTCAGAATTCACCAGTTATCAAGGAAGGATGAATAGTCTATTCTTTTGAATAAAAGACATAAAATGACTCTTCTCAGGCTCAGGACACTGGAGATGTGCCTGCAGAAAGCCAGTGCCTTAAATACTGTCGGAAATGCGCGTGTGTGCACATCCACATGGTGACAGCCACAAAAATGCCTTTGAGCCCATTAGCATCCGTATGAGGGACGCTTCTGCTGAAAACACACCATTTCATGGCGGCACCTGTTTGGCTTCAGAAAAACGTGGCTCTCCTCACAATCTATTCCAGTTCCAGCCCTCTAGCTAACCAGACTTGTTCTGAGTAAGACAGAAAACGCACCACTGCCACGACCTGAATCTGCTTTGGGTGAGAATGTTAGTAACCATAATGACCATAAAACTGCCAATGCCTCAGTTTCAACTTTGGAAACCTCTCAGTCCCCTCACATCATGGTGTGCCCATCTTGGGTGGGGGGCGGGGAGGGGAGTACCCTGTGGAAAAGAATTTATTTAGTCCATTTTCCCAGCCTACCTCTTCAGGGACATTTCTTCCTGAGCCAGCTACCTTCCTCTGCAGGCTCAGCCCCCAGTGAGAGCCTCCCATCAACTGAGGGCTGATCAGAGGGAGACCATGAGGCTGTTTGAGTGTGTTCCTAAAGCCCAAAGATGGCTTTCGAGTAAACATTTGATACTCTCACCGTGGTATATACCACATGCGACCCTGCAGGAAAGCTACGTTTCTGTCATCTTTCAAAGAATTCGTAGACAAATAGCTAGAGATAAAAGCCAGAGGAGCATCTGTATTTTTATTTCCCTGTATCATCATTTCTTTCCCTTTTCGTCTCGGGCCCTCAAAAACCACAGGCGTCCGGCCCTTCTCTTGATCTCCGTGAGGGTTTACCAGCCTCATTACTTCGCTGTGTTTCTCATTGACAAAATGGCTTCCAGAATTATTATTTGAGTAACAGTATCAGTTCTTCTAGGGTTCAGGGTATTGAGATGAAGCTTTAATTGCTTCTCTTTCTAATTGCAACTGCAATAGCTTTCCTCAAGTTGCCTTGTGGTTAACTCTGTTTCTAAGGCTGGGTGAGCATGGAGGCGTTTCACTGGCTCACGGCGGACCCCTGAATCCCGAGACTACAGCAGCCTCTAGAATGGAGGGCCTCAAAGCCACACTGCTGGCAGGACTGTTCTCAAGTTCGAGACTAAAGGTCGGCAGCTCAAGGTGGGTTACACGTTAATAGCTTGGCCAGTGAGACCTGCACTGATGATCATCCTTGTCCTCTCTGAGTACATTTTCTTTCTTTCTGTCTTTTAAAAAAATGTTTCTTTTTTACTTATTTTTGAGAGAGAATGTGTGAATGCAGGGAAGGGGCAGAAAGAGGAGAGCACAGAGGATCCAAAGCAGGCTCTGTGCTGACAGCAGAGGGCCTGATGAGGGGCTTCCCAAACTGCGAGATCATGACCTGAGTCGAAGTTGGATGCTTAACCCACGGAGCCACCCAGGCTCCCCAACAGAGTCCATTTTCAAGGAACTGGGACTATGCAGAATCCTTCCACTTGTCCGCATGCTACATTTAAGGTTCCATGAAGGTGAACCATCTGTTCTACTCAGATCCCGTGAAATTGGACAAGAGTTGAAGTGTGAGAAATGAAAGAGGTGGGCAGTATATAGCTGTACAGATTGTGTGTGTGTGTGTGTGTGTGTGTGTGTGGGGGTGGGTGGAGGGTGCCTGGGGACAGGTCCAACCCAAGGAGTTCAGAGCCCCAAACCAAGACTCCCACGCTCCACCCCCCTACACACACATCTATTTTTATATGAATAAAATCTGTCTGAAAATGATCTCAAAGGGAGACCAGGATGGAAAAGAGGGAAAGAAATACCAGATGCAAAGACCTAACAGGCACATGTGGAGACTAGAGTAGATCCGTTGATGACATCTTGTTAAGGGGTTATGGATTCCTTGTGTGCATAAAATTGGAGAGCCATTCCACCTCATCTTTTTCCTCTGTATTCACAAATTCTTCTCCCGCCAGGAGGGGGATGAAAGGGATGAGCCCAGCTATGCATCCTCTGGTGCCTCCTCCATGAAGCATGAAGGTTCTGGGTAGAAGATTCTGCACTGCACATGAATGTACAGCTACTGCATCAATGTCAACCAAAGGCAAGATGTAAACAAAAGGTTATCTTGAATCTTATCTAAATATGTAATATTGGCACGAATCAGTACGAGCTC